ATCGTAAATGTTTACTACAGGCACCTGTACAAACAAGGGGAAGAAAAAAGGATGAATTTATTAATGATACATTGTGATTCAGCTTCCCTTGCTGAGGTGAACTGGATGGGATCAGGCAGAAATGGGCAACAGTGATGAAAAGCATATGCATATTTTATTCCAACTGGTCAACCAATTAACTAGAATGGTGAAGCATTTACTATTCCGTTGTAAAAGGTGAGTAGTTTTATTTCAGCGATGATTTATTGATATTTCTACATGCCAAAACTTATGAACATCATGGGAGTTTCACCAGTTTAGCTGAATATCTTAATGGAGCATGGCACATTTGCAAAATGTACTTATAGGGGATGACGAGAGGGGGGTGGGAATGAGAAGAGCGCAAGTCCTTGAATCAGCTTCGCTGAGCACAGAGCAGCATTCTTTGGTGATCTTGAGCAATTACCATAGGTTTGCAACTTGTTTAGTTTTGCCAAAATGCAGCAAGCTTCATAATAATGATTCAATAGCCTGGCTTTTTAGTAAAATGTACCTCTTTTGGTAGTGTTCTACCTCACATTTGTTTTCAAAACCATTCAATCCCTGGCACCTCCCTACCTCTCCAACCTCTTCACTCCCCAATCCACCACCTGGTGCCTCCACTCGACTGACATCGGCCTCCTGCTTGTCCCTCGCACCCTCTGCTCCACCATGGGAGGTCGCGCCTTTCAACCACTATGTCCCAAGACTGTGGAACACACTCCCTCAATCCCTCCGCCATTATCAAGTGCTCTGAGACGCTACCCTGCTTGGAGGGTGTTATATAAGTGCAAGTTGTTGTTGTAGTGAATTTGGTGCCCAGTATTACTGTTGAAGATGTGTTTTGTGTTCTTCTGTGGAATATTAAGCTACTCATTTTTCATAATTCAGTTTAAAACCTCATTCTCAACTTTTTTTCACTATGTTAGTCAACAGATGCGAACTTGGAGCTTCACGAGTAGTGATTTTTACTCCGTTGTCTGTCTGTGCTAATCTAAGCAATGAACCCTCTCGTAAAATAAAATCCCTTGCAGTCATCAAAGAAAACTTTGTTCCATTATTTTGCCTGCTTCCAAAAATTGTCTGCTTCCAAAAGTTAAAGAAAATTTTAATGGGGACTGCACCACTCATTGACTGACAACTCATTAAATAAAACAGTTGTATTTTTCCCTAAAGGAAAGATTAACATATTTGTATGTTAATCATTAAAGTAATAGTTTTGAGTTGCAAATTCATTGTTTGGCACAAATCCAATCCAAATATACCTAAATCTTTTCATAGCAAGACATAGTATTTGTGTTTAAAAATCATTGTGAGCTTTCTAAAACTGCCTTGTGAATGTTGCAATTTCATCAGTCTGGCCTGCTTTTGAATGCTAATTCAGTCAGCTTTCACTCCCAAATTTTGTTTACTAAATTCGTGTTGCAGTACTTCAATTGTTTTTGTTCATCAGATAAACCTTTATCTGTTTAAGATTAAATCATTTGTTGATACATTGACTGTGATCTTGGAGTGTCATAAAGCAAAACATCCATACAAGTTGAAAGTCCTATTGAAAGTGAGAATTTTGTTACGAGGTGAGTATTCCATTAGAATTTCTGTTGGAAATCAGCTCAGCAGTGAATCATGCTGGAGTTCAGAGTGTTGGTTTGATGCACTTCCAGTTACTGGAAGGAGTTCTCATTTGATTGATTCAGATTTTTAAATCAGAAATCCTGTTCACAATTGTTGCATTTTAGAGCAGTTTTGCTGTATTAGTGCTCAACTATTTTAGACTAAACTGTAATTTTTTTAATTCATGTGCAATGTTGTGTTTGTGCTCTTCAGAAGTGCAACATTACGCATCAATAAAATAAATTACAGGTTGGTCTAAAAATCGTCAAATGCATGGATTTCTAGCTTTGTATATTTATAATAATAATAATCCTTACATTTATTCTTCTAGTCCCTACAAAATTGGATTCACTGAAAAGATAAAGGAAATTAATTGAAGGAGATTTTGGGTTCCTTTAATTCTTATAAATGTCTTTTTCTCCAGATTTTAGGATAATAAAGTAAAAGTCTCAGAGAGATTTATCAAAGAAGGACAATATTACTGTGTCCACTGCTTGAAACAAAATATTACTACAATTGTACTGCTGTGTTTGCCAACAAATACACAGTCACTGTTAAGTGTTCAACAGATCATTTCACAAGCTGCATATCATCCAGAACTCTGCAGCCCGTGTCCTCTCCCGTACCAGTCTCCGTGAACCCATCACCCCCACCCTCGCCTGGCTCCACTGTCTCCCCATCCCTCCGAGGATAGAATTCAAAATCCTCGTCCTCACTTTCAAGGAAGGCCCTCCACGGCCTTGCCCCTCCAACCTCTCTGACCTGCTGACCTCCTATCAATCTTTCCGTTCCCTCCGCTCAGCAGGCACCGGCCTGCTCCAGGTCTCCCACCCTACCATCGGCAGCCAGGCGTTCAGCCTCTCGGCCCCCCCACTCTTTGGAGCTCCATCTCACAATCCCTTTGCTTTGCTTTCTTGCCTCCTTCAAGGCAACAACATTACATTTATATAGCGCCTTTCATGTCGGGAGGACATCCCAAAGCGCTGAACAGTCAGGTGTCGGGGCCCGAGCAAGGGGGAGGGGTGGTGTTGAGATGAGGGAAGACAGAGAGGTGGAGGGAGACCAAAGGCACTGTCAAAGAGGAGGGTCTTGAGACCGGTCTTGAAGGAAGCAAGGGAGGAAGTGAGGCGAAGGGACCGTGGGATGGAGTTCCAGAGTGTCGGAGCAGAGAGGTTGAAAGCCCGGCCACCGATGGTAGGGTGGGTCGGGCGGGGGACATGGAGCAGGCTGGAGCCTGATGAACGGAGGAAGCGGGCAGGTTGGTAAGGAGTCAGCAGTTCAGAGAGGTAGAAGGGGGCAAGGCATTGGATGGCCTTAAAGGTGAGGACGAGGATCTTGAACTCAATCCTCTGGGGGATGGGGAGTCAGTGGAATTGGGCGAGGGTGGGAGTGATGACCAAGCCTTGAGATGCCGAATGCACGGGTGAGGGTTTCGGCAGCCTGAGGGGTGAGGCAGTGGCGGACTCTGGCAATATTGCGGAGGTGGTGGGAGGCAGTGCCGGTCATGGCTTGGATGCGGGGGAGAAAGGACAATTCAGGGTCAAACAAGATAGTCAGGTTCCTGACTGGCTTAGTGAGGTTGATTGTGCAGCCGTGGAGGCTGATACTGCCAGTGCCTGAGGTGCGGAGGTGCTGGCGCGAGCCAATCAGGAGGGCCTCGGTCTTTCTGACGTTGAGTGGGAGAAAGTTGGCCCTCATCCAGGATTTGATGTCGGACAAGCAGTCGGTCAGGACGCCAGTAGTCCTGGAGTTCAGGGTGGAGGCAGAGAGACAGAATTGGGTGTCATCCGCACACATGTGGAAATTTACCTCATGTCTGCGGATGACGTCACCAAGGGGGAGCATGTAGAGGCATGTAAGGCATGACTCAAGACGCTTCAGCTGCCGTCCTACACCCTCTGGTCTTCCTCATCCCATCCCTGCCCTCCACCCTCGGGTCCTAATCCCTGACTGTTCAGTGCCTTGAGATGTCCTCCCAACATGAAAGGTGCTTTACAAATGTAATTTTGTTGTTGTTTACCATCTTAACTTTTCTTAACAAAATTCTGTAGAAAATGTTTTTAATGGTTAAATATAACTTTGTCTGATAGTGAATTTGGTTTGTATTAGCTTTTTTAAATATTTGTATATTTGTACGTCAATAGAAATGTGTATCTCCCAAGCTTGTTTTGTTCCTAGCATTCTGCAAGGATTTACAAAGTTAAGATAGAAACACTTACTAAATAATAATACTTGCATTTGGTATAGCACCTATCACATCGGAAGAACATCTCAAAGTGCTTCACGGGATTTACTGTGAAATGGAGTGACTGTATTTTGGTAAATATGGCAGCACAATTGGGCACAGCAATGTCCCACAAATAGTCATGAAACGAATGACCCATTTTTATTTGGGGAATTGTTGAGAAACTCCCTGCTCTTTTCAAACAACACCATGAGATCTTTAATACAGTACAAAATTACACTTGTATAGAGCCTTTCACGTCGGGAGGACGTGCCATGGTGCTGGAGGGTCAGGGAGTTAGACCCGAGCTCGGGTTTGGGGAGGAAGGAGGGTAGGAAGGTGGTCGAAAGCACGGTCGACGAGTAGGGTTTTGAGACGTGCCTTGAAGGAGGCGAGGGAGGGACTGAGGTGGAGGGATTGTGCGATGAAGTTCCAAAGGGTGGGGGGCAGAAAAGCTGAAGGCCCAATCACCGATGGAGCTCCACACGGCACCTGCATTATAAACTAACGGGCACTATGGCTGGGGCCTTAGAATGGAGTTACCACGTAGTATATTTAATTCTAGAAAACATCTAGAGTTTCCTGATCTGCCATTTTTAAAATCAACTTTGCTATTATCATACTTATTGATGAATGTGTTATTCTGAATAAACACCCCTTTATGAAACTAATGGATCAATATGGAGTGCATATGGAGGTAAACACTTATGTTGTGTGTAGAAAAAGTGATGCATGGAATCTCAAAATGAGCACCATTTATAAATTACCACCAACCACTTTAGCTTTGACTAATATCAAATAGCTACCTTAATTCTGTATAAGAAAGAAATTACATTGCAATGATGAGAAAATCATTGTTGATTACCTTAGAATTGCCACATTGCAGTAGAAGTCTCGTATCCAAAGCATCAGAATTACCATGAAGTAAACTGGTCCTTGAGAAATAGAAACATACCATTTGAATGTTTGTAGAATATTGGCGTAATAAAATATTGTATTGAAAAATTTGTTACTCACATCCTCTTGTTCAGTTTTTAAAACTGTTGTACTACTTGAGGAGTGGCAATGCTGTGGCAATTTGATAACAAGTTGGCCTATGACGCTATGCAATCCATTGCAAATTTGAATTCTGTATTTTTCTCAGGTGGATGCACTGCGCCTGCGTCTTGAAGAAAAGGAGAACATGCTAAATAAAAAGACAAAGCAAATCCAGGAGATGTCTGAGGAGAAGGGAACTCTAGCTGGAGAGATTCATGATCTCAAAGATATGATGGAAGTCAAAGAACGTAAAATCAATGTCTTGCAAAAGAAGGTGAGTCAAGGATGTCAATTGTTCAGAAGCCTTTTGTTTTAAGAAAATGTATTTAGTTTTAGTGCATCATACATCCATGGTATTGTATGTTTCTGGATCAATTATAGAACATATTGTATTTCATCCAGATTAGGGTTTTAATGCTGCCTCAATGCTTAGTTAGAAACCACAGTATAAGTGAAAATACGTCCTATATAGTATCTTGAGTTGTGGAGGATTGTGGGTGAAAACCTAATTGAATCAGTGAGTTTACACATTCATAGGTTAAAACATTTCTAATGCATTAAAATCCTTGTATATATTTTATTGTGTCCATGGAAATTAACTTGGTACTGAAATGTCAGGAAAAACTTTAGGATTATGTAACCAGGTACTCGAATTTGCCTGAGCACCCTGAGGTGGAGATCTGATACAGGTAAGGACATGGATAGAAAGGGCCTGAAACACAAACAAAGATAGTGTATAAGGACAGAAATGGTTCAAGAGCGAGAGAGATGTAAAGAGAGACCGAGAAATTAATACAACATACTGATAGTCACAATGTTAAAATAAATCCGAGAGAGTGATCTTGGCTTCATGACGTTGTTGAAAATTTCAGATTGCAATTCATTAATGTGTACGATATTTTTCTGTTTTCTGGTGCTGCATATATCTTCATTCCAATATTTAATTTATTGGCCTTTGACTCATGTCATTTGTAATTAATTAGCTTGATTTTAAAGGAAGGAATGTGACCTGAACTACTTCCAAATAGTTATAAGTGACAAACAAGTATAATACAGGTTGCATTGTCAAATGAAACATAGTAATAAAACTGAAGAATTCTTACAATGTTACAACTTGTCTTGCTTCTCTTATAGTTCAGATTATCAAAACAAAATTGATTTGCTCGTTTACAATTTGTTGCCAGTCATTTGGTATCTTGCATTTGCTCCCTGAATGTAAGTACATTTGCTTATGCAGTTAAGATCTGCTTCAAGTAAGCCCTAGGTTTGGAAATAGCTATTTTCCCCATAACCAAAATAATCACGTTGAAGTAGGTAGAGTTTTTGATGATTTTATTATTGTTCATGAAAGGAAGTGCCATCTCAGGTTTATCAAACTACCTCAGGATAATTGCATTATTGCAGTGTGAAAAAATGGCCAATTTATGGATTGTCGGGACATTGACAACTTTGCTTGCTGCTCGATCTACGTTGTGTGCAGGAAGTGCCACTGACATCACTGTTTGCATACGTTATGTTGACCATTTTTAGCACAGGAAGCTGGAAGGTTAATGCTGGAAATGTATCATTCTTCCAGTAACCCTGGAACCACAGGGCACCTGCATTAAAACCAGATTTGCAATCCAGTGAGGAGCTCAATAATGGAGTTGCACTGAACATTAAAAACATCAAAATCAGTGTACTGTAAAAACCATTAAAAAAGATGGCAACATCATTATACAGAAACTACACTTTTAAACTATAAAAAGGAACTTCACAACCATTCACATTCGTCCAGCACTGAAAGTGAAAATTGGTGCAATTGTTAAAGCTGGTAGAATTCTCAAAATTGTTATTTTACTTTACATGAGAAATTTCTCAAGAGTTAACTGAAGCTTAGATTCATTTAGCTTGTTTCAGTCATTATAATTCATGCTTGATATAGTGCATCAGGCAATGTGCCAAAGAATGGTACAAAGAGCCTCCATAATGTGCTTGGAACTGCAGTGGTTTTCCGTCCTGCTTGTCTTGCAAAAGCGATTTAAATCACTCACTTCACTCTTCACTCAATCACCTCACTCTTCACTCTCTTTTTACTCACTACTCTTCGTTCATTCACTTAATTCACTCACAGTTCATTCATTTAATTCTTCACTCACTCACTTCATTCTTCACTCACCTACGTTTCTCTTCATTCTCTCACTGGCTAGGCACTGATGAAGGGAGATAAATATAAATCTAGTATTCCAGCTGATTGGCAAATCTTGCCTATGGAATTGGGTTGAGCGTTAATTGTTGTTTCTTAACAACAACAAGATTCCATGTATAGAGTGCCTTTTATGTCGGGAGGACGTCTCAAGGCACTGTACAGTTGGGTCAGGACCCAAGCCGGGGGGAAATGGTCAGGGTGAGGGGAGGGAAGGGATGGGGAGGGGGTAGAGAGTCGAGAGGGGAGCTGAAGGCACGGTCAAAGAGAAAGGTCTTGAGACCGGCCTTGAAGGAGGAAAGGGAGGAGGCGGCGAAGGCACTGGGGGATAGAGTTCCAGAGCCTAGGGGCTGAGAGGCTGAAGGCCCGGCCACCGATGGTAGGGCGATTGGGGCGGGGGATGTGGAGCAGACCAGAGCCAGAGGAACGGAGGGTATGGGCAGGTAGGTAGGGGGATAGTAGGTCAGAGAGGTAGGAGGGAGCAAAACAAAATCATATCTATTCTATATTTTAAGGAGTTTCTCTCAGCTAAACCAGTACATAGATTGTCGACACAACGGTCCTGTATTACTGTACATATTATTTTATCTGCAAAATATTAGCTCTCAATTATGTACAATACAGTGCACAGCCTTGGAATATTTTAGGCATGAAACAATTTTTCCTATTTGACTTGTAAACAGTGCCAGAGCAAATTCCTCATTAGTTGAAGTACTCTTGAGTATAAAAAGCCCTTTTCAACTGCATGGTGACTCCTTACAGTCATCACAGCTTGCCAGTTCTGTCATCTTAAATTTACATTTGGCCCTGCTTTTTCATTTAATTAAAGAGTTAATGCTCAGTTGCTACCTGTTATTTTATGCTCTGCTTATAGACGGATACCAGACTCTGTATTTAATACTGGCAGGAAAAACCATTTAAATACCAGACAGAAATTAAGGTTTTTGAAAAAATAAAATAAACAGGGTTTAACTCTTTCTTGCCACAGCCACAGCTGCATTCTCTTGCTAGGGCTGTTAACAGAATGCTGTGTACATTGATGAAGGTGTAGATCCACGTGCACAGCATTCTATTAACACAAAATGTACTTTTTTTACTATTGGAATAAATTATGAAATGATAATCTTTTGGAAATGTTTGCTGTATATCTGAGCTTTCTTTTGTGTAAGTGAAAATTCTGATTCAAATCCACAAGTTAACTAAAATAATAAAAGAAATCTTGCATTTGGTATAGCTCTTTTCACATCGGGTGGACATCTCAAAAGACTTCATAGGAGTTAAAGTGTAGTGACTAAATAAGTGTATAGTCTGTGAACACAGTAGTCAATTTGCACACAGACAGCGATGAAGTGAACAACAGATTTTATCTGGGGGATTGTTGCCCAGGACAACGGGTGAAACTCCCTTCTCTTGAATAGTGTCACTAGATCTGTATTGTCCACATGAACAAGAAGATGTGAAGATTCTTATTTGAACTTGTATGATTGTNAAAAAAAGTTCTAACTAATAACNTTTTTTAACAATGTTTTGAACTGGTGATATTGGATTCTGTACAGGAAGGAGTTATTAGTTAACTTTCTGCTTGGCTTGAATTTCAACTGTAAATATAAATGTAGCTCAGAGATACCATTGAACTGGCTTTGCCCTATGTTCTTATGTTGTTACGTAGAGTTACATCGTGATACAGCATGGAAACAGGACATGCAACTCAACCAATCAGTACAGGTGTTAAAACTGCACCCGAGCACCCACCTCACCTATCCCTGCATTTATATCCCTCTATTTCCTTCTACGTTATGTATTAATCATTTTTACTTAAATACATTGGTGCTTTATTCCTTCTGGCATTGAGTTCCACATTCTCATCACCTTCAGAGTGAAGAAGTTCGTCCTTATCTCCATGTTAGATTTACTATGACCAATCTTATATTGATACCTCCTCTCCAATGTTACATTATCCTTTCTGTAATATGGTAACCAGAATTGTGTGCAGTTATGTAAATCACCAAATATCGTCTAACCAAGGTTTTTAAAAAATTAAATTTAACATAACTTTTCTACTTTCTAGTCATTAGGGCATAAAGTCAGTGACACTGTTTGCATTCTTTATGGCAATGGCCACCTATATTGCTACGTTTAGAGTCTTGTGAATCTGAATCCCTGGATCCTTTTGTTCCTCTATCCCTCTACTATCATTTCATATTTCCTGCTATTAAATTTCATTTGAGACTTATTTGCATGTTCCGCAAGCCCACTTTTGTACTGAGTGAGGAAGGATGCTCCTTTCTGGGATTGCATCCTGGGATGGGTCACATTCCTAGCACTGTAAAACAAAACATTTGTTGCAGAGTTTTGCATTCAAGTTGCAGTTGTACTCTTCTTGCTTCATTAACCCTGAATGGTCTGCAAAAATTATCTGGGCATTCAAGAATATTAAGAACTGGACCAGGCCATTGCCTTACCGTTGAAATCATTGCAATGGTTAATAGATGACCTGGTGCTACCTTTAAATTTTTTACATTAATATTTGGATACTGCGGGAGAATTTGTTTTTCCTTCTTCAAAAATGTACCCTGCAAAAAGTTGACAATCACCTTTGCTCAAGAATTGCTTTTCATCTTCATCTTCATAAATGAGACTAAATATAATAATGTTCTCATTACTGATTTTGACATTTTTTTGCCTCTGAACAATTTGTACCAGAAGAGAAGATAATTGAATTATGCAATATGGTGTTTCCTCCAAGGAACCAGCAAAGCATTGTTCAGCAAGAAACTGAATCTATTCACTTTACACACAAACATGCTGCTTAAAGGAAATTCTTTCTAAATCTTCCAGTGTAGGTTTCTATTTCCAGGAGGAGAGAAAAATATGTAATTTTGAAGAAAAAGATTTTCTTTTAAACTTGCAATTTATTCTCTTCTTTTGACATGTTTATTGGGTACATGAGGATAATAATACTTAGAATTCTTGCATTTGACATAGCGCCTGATCCTGTCAACGAAAGATATCTAAGTGCTTCACCGGTAAGATGTAGTAGCTGTTTACTTATAGGTGAGCACAGCAGTTTATTTGTGTACAGCAATTTC